CCCCCCCCCCCCCCCCCCCCTTCCCCCTCTTGTGTATATAGATGTCTCTGGAAAGGCCTTCGCTGCCACGAGACTTGCAAGTGCTTTCCACCATCTTGGGAAGGTCTCGCACGTGAAAATGAATAACGTGATTGGTTGGGTCCCGGCGTAGAGGCCCCCAGGCATATAGCTCGGGGCAAGTTGCCTCTTTTGCCCTGCCCCCCCCCCCCCCCCCCCCCTCTTATCCACGTGTCTGCTATGAGCTCCTTGCTCGTGCGACTTCAGTAAGTAGGCTGCCGCGCCTGGAAGGGTGCAGCGCTTCACACCATAGGGGAGGCCCCTCGCCCCCCCTCCCTTTATGGAGGATAAAGGAGAAAATACAACTTCCAGAGGATCCCTTCTACCAGGCGATAGGCGCAACTACCCACATACATTGTCAATGGACCAAGGGAGGCCTCCAGGCTCTTGCCTCCCATTTGGGATTCCCATTTGGGATTCTGGGAAGGCGTCAACTGTCAGAGACTGGACTTCGCCCGTTTCGCGTAACGTTGGGTTCGACAACGAACCCAACGGTTCTGAGAGATTTCTTTCAGATACAGTCAACTCTCGTTAATCCGAACGCCAGTAATCCGGATCTCCCGTTAATTCGGACATGAAGACATGAAGAAAACGGTACTGATAGGCCCAACCAGAGGAATTGCTCATTTCATCCCTTCGTTACCTTTTTGCCAGGCGTGAAACTCGTAGGAGATCGGTTATGGCCACTTCACGACTGCAGAGATTGGGATAAATTAAATATGAAGTGAATGGCTCGTGGATCTTCGAAAAATCATTTGAACAGAATCGAAGATATCCGTCTTGGCTTTCCTTGGCCTCCTAACAGTTTTTGACAGTTGGCGTGCCATCACATTGTCAACTAGATCCACCATGACTGCTGTGAACTTCAACTTTCGGCGGGCAGCCATCACCTTTGCATATCTCATATTTATCGACATCTGTACACAGGTGCTCAAAAAAGCAAATTCCCCATTCGTGGAATAGATGGCTGGCAGTTTGAAGGGAGTAAATGGCAAGCCCTCGCCAGCGAGTACTCGCCAAGAGTAACAGGGACTTTAGATCCATAAAGTTTTCAATGCTGTGTTTATTTGTAAAAGAAGCTTTAGCGGTGAGGACGTATTTGAAAGTTTCATATGCAAGATTTTCAATGCTCTGAGAGATTCCTTCGAAAGGTTTCTTTCAAAAATCTCTTATTTTGCAACATTCTTAGATCATATATGCAATAAAACTTCCTGTTGTGGACCAGGCCTTAGTTGAAAGACAAGTTGCGGTAGCACGTGATTTGAATATTCCAACATCGACAGTGTTGGATATAGGATATATAAAAGTGTCGCGATGAACTTCAGCAGGCTGCTGTCCTGGCTGGTGTCCCTCCCGCGGAAACGAATGCGAAGCGCACGCTTTCAATATGCACAGATCGAAAGAACTGAGTCCATGGATATAGGATATATAAAAGTGTCGCGATGAACTTCAGCAGGCTGCTGTCCTGGCTGGTGTCCCTCCCGCGGAAACGAATGCGAAGCGCACGCTTTCAATATGCACAGATCGAAAGAACTGAGTCCAAGATTTCCTATTCTCATGCAAACAATGAAGGCCTTCTTTGCACATATTAAGTGCAGTTTACTTTTCCAGGAAAAAAAGAAGAAAAATGAATGGTCACTCGGGAGGTACTCGATAATCCGGATGACCGTTAATCCGGACAAAATCACCAGTCCCCTCGAGTCCGGATTAACGAGAGTTGACTGTATTTGATACCGTAACAGGTAATTTCCAAGTTGTCTGGAATGTGCTTCCCATGAATTTTTGAGAGGGGCCCCCTCGCCTCCCCCGACGAGCAGCCATTGCCCTTCACTTATATTAAAATCTGTACAATGGCCCAGAGATAAAACCGAGGGCCAATTAATCGCTATCCGCACCCAGAACATTTCTGACAAACACTTTCAATGATTACATCCTCCAAAAAAGAAAGTGATCTGGTAAGAAAATATATGAATTTCGAGTTTTCATCGATCGCACGAAATTTAACTCGGTTTAAAAAAGAGTTCAAGGAGAAAATTAGTCTGAAATGTAAGCACGTCTGAGCCTCTTACTGTGAAATCTGGGATTAATGTGGATGTTCCCAATGCCAGGACCCGGGTGGTGTTGCTGGGGCGGCGGGTCCCAGACGGGAATGTTCATGAACTTGTTCTCCTGCGCCTGCCGATTCCACTGGCCGTGCCTCGGCTCTCTCCCCCAGCCCCCGCCCCGATTCCCCCTGCCCCTCCCGCGGGGGGTCTGCGACTGCCGGGGTGGTGGCGCGCCCGACGTCGGGGCCTTGGCGGTCGGCGGCTTGGCAGTCACCTTTACCGAATCTGCCACGTGTACAGTGGAAAAAGAGACACTTTAAATAGAGGCGGACTCAGGGAGTGCGTGTTTTATATCACGAAGATTGGCGATTAAGGCCCCGATTGCATGGATTCCTAGATAAATCTGGATTTAATACATGTATATTCCCGCATTTTTTTGCAAAATGAGAAACTCCTTCGGTTAATGACGTTAGGATGCTCAATATCTCCATTTTATTCTTACGGTAAGAAGCTTTGACATTCGTAATACCTATGTTCAGCAGAAGTATGATTCCAAGACCACTTTTAAGCAGTGCAGACCATGTGCAAACCATGCAATTCGAGGGCCACATCATTAACAGTATCAGAAATTAGTGATAATAGTTACAGCATTATGCATCCTCAAATTTCCTCACCCAAAGATTCAGGGATTAGTTCAGTAGTGGTAGTTGCGGGATTGACGGAGTCCAACTTCCGTTCGGATTCGAATCTCCTATTTCTCCGATGTCTGTCGTCATCGTCATCGTCTTCCTCTTCGTCTTCTTCCTCCCATTTTGATGTGTCCTTGTGCTGCTCATCGGAGGCCTCACTGAGCCCCACTGCAAAAAAAAAAGAGAAAACGCATTGAAACCGGATCCGCTGTCACCGCCTCTCCATGCATCCTCGAAAGGACACAGGCATGCATCAACTTCGGACCCTCTACCTTGAGCCTCAGCGGGAGCCTGAACCCGAGCTACCGACGCGTTTCCATCCTCTTCCGAATACGCCAAGTGGGCTTCATCCTGCAGGGAATGGTATTGTTCTTCTGACACTTCCAAGATGTCATCCTCCTCCCCACTAGGAAGACAGAAAAATCAACTTCAACGAAAGTGCTGCAAGTGGCGGAATGGAAAACTTTCCTGAAAAATAACAACTTAAAATACTCAATATCAGCCTTGAGAATCTTACCCTTTGTGGTTAATTAACCTCTTAAAACGGATTGAAATGCACTGAATGTCAGAGAAAATCATGAAATCAAAAGACTGCTAATCCATTTGCATGAGTTACCAAAAAGATAAAAAACTGACTTTTAGACAAGAACAGTAGTCCAGCTATTTCTAAGTCTCCCCATCTCGTTCTTAGATCCTAAAATCGCCTGGTTAGTTGGTAGCTGATGGCTCAAATGGTCAGTGTTCACAATGCCATCTCTGGCACGAAATAGTAAAGCCGTCCAGCGCCAGCAAGAATCCCCTCACAGAGCCCGAACCAGCAAAACCCGTCCTCCCGCAAAGCAGACACAAAACCGACCTCCGCATCCCGAAGGACAGAAGAAGCGAGAGCAAACTCACTAGGTCGCATCCTCATCGATGGCCAGCAAGGCATTCTCCTCCTCGGCGTCGAGATCGAGCACTTCGTCGTCGTCCTCCTCGAAGTTCAACAGGTCCTCGTCATGTGCACTCATCCCGTCGGCTGTATCGCGTCTCGAACGGCACGAAGTCAGGCGTGCATGACGCTTCCAAAAGGCTCAATAAAAAATGCAGGGGAGCAGCATAAAGAGCATGGGGGGGCTCTGACAGAAACCGAGACGGACGTGTCTACTGTACGAGTTCCAGACGAAGGAGACGGCCTGGAGTTGTATTTAAAAAATCTGATACAACCAACCTATTCCAAGTAAACCAGACTTCCATGCAGGAAATCACATCATAATTTAAAAAAAATGCACCTGAGAATCTGTTACAAACATCACTAGCTGGAAATCCAGGAAAACGGCATTAGACGGAATGCGGAGACTCAGAAGAAACATCGATTCTGGGACATGGACCAGAAATAAGCACCTCTGGCTGCCAGCTTAGTAACATTTCAACGCGCATTCGCGAACATCACACAAGGCTCGAAATATTTCCTGAGAAACGTTCTTCGATTATGCAACCTTCCAATGGGAATGCAGTTCCCAACACCTCCATTGCTATTAGAAGGCTGAGGTGCAATACCCTGATTTGCCTCAAAATTCCCTTTGTGTCAGCAGGGCGAGTGCAGGAAAACTATACTGGTGGGCAAAAGTAACATTAAACTCCTTTCCCTTCGAAGTACTTCACTTTCAACTTCCACCTATAAAATTTTACCGTCACATCTTTCCATATCTATATAAAAGTAACTGTGCAACTGGCGGTGCCAGTATAACCGGACCACTGAAAGAATTCCGTTTCAGTAAAATTATGGTTCCATTTTGGAGTACCGCCAGTTGCAACTAGAATTGACAGAATATAACAAGGAAACTAATCGAGGGAATGAAGAGAACCTGTAAGAGAAAGGGAAAAGTTACCCCATTCATTGCGGCCAAGAAGTCAGAAAAACAGTCAAATGTCTGTTGCCTGAAATTTTTGACTCTCCACGCTGCCACATTACAATGCAAATCATTTTTACGCCCTAACAAATTCATGAAACCCTGACCCGGTAATGCGTCAAGCTAGGACACGAAATGTTTACACGTCATGTAAGCAGCGAATGAGTGAAATTAATGATCAGATGGAAAAACAACGCAAATAAATTTTGGGAGACCGAAATTGTAACTTAAACATTCAGAATCAGTAGCTTTGTTAATCAGAACTACCAGCGCGCTTTTATACCCACTGTGACTGTTGTGCATAGGTATGGAATACTTTTGGGACTTACCAGGTTCATTTCGGCACTGCAGTGCAAAAGCAAGGTGATTTTTTTTCTCTGCAGCAAGGGAGCATATAATGCAATAGGTCAGGGTAGGTTAATGGCTGTCTATAATAAATTGCTTTTTTTAATTTGCTCTTATTGCTCCATTTTTCTCCTGCATGATTAAATGCATGAATGAAAAACAACTCAAGAAAAGTTTTAAGACAACTGTTTCCCCTTTTTTGGCCTAAGGAAATTCCCAAAAAGACATCTAAACTAAGAAGTAGAACATTTTTCGTAAAGATCTCGGGGGACAAAGAGTAAATGAGGAAGAAATTTAAAAAATTAGCCAATGACGTAACTTTTCTGAGATAGAAGTAATCTGATTTCCAGGATACGATAGCATTAAGAAAACAGAAATTTTTTACTCTAACAAATTTTGCTAAAATGGAAATTTATTATTACAGTTATGTGCTTTCCCATAATTTAAATTAAACAGGAAAGGCGTGATTAACCCCCACCTTCGCACTGTCTCAGAAGAGTCTCCTATTTTCCCAACTGCACTATTCAGGAGATATTGCAAAATCACACTGATGTCTACAGAGTTGCTGAGAAACTGAAAGAGGAAAAATTTACTTTTACCCACCAGGATACTTGCCTGGTAAGCACGTTAAAGTCAAAATGCCCATGAATATACGACACATGAAAAAAAATCCACCTCCTTCACCAATCTCTATGGGTGAAGTCATTCCGACCATCAGGAAATGAAATTTACATCATTTGCAGCTCTCCTGCTGACACAGCAGGCAAAATATGCAAGCTCACTCATTAGTCTTCAAATCACAACCTCAAAAGATTCCTGGATCTGCTTCTCCTGTCAAGGATGCTGACTGATCATGGATGTGATAACAGAGTGAAGAACACTCACCAACTGTACTGCAATGAGCGAATGGAATTTACCAAGAATAAAGTCACCTGTGTTCCTGCAATATCCTGCATCAGATTCACCTCATATTCCACATATTAAGAATGATTCCACTGAACAAGAAAGACCCAAAATGAATCATTCCGTTCTGCTTGATGAATTTCTGGGATGAAATCAAGAACCTTGTGAATGATATTTCTATATCACCATCCACAAAGTAATGTATAATGTGAGAGGGCGAAGTCACCTCTTTTCTCAAGAAATAAAGATGACCTTCTTTCCCGAAAAGAATTATCTGCTTGGAGGTGTCCTCAAGGTATAAGCAACATTACCAAATGAAAATTTTACAGGCATTCGTCATATTGCTTTGGCTCAGATGTTGCAGTTTATCTCCTTTTGTATGTGAACAGTTGATTGCATTGCAAGATTGTCCAGACAGTTTCTTTTTTTCACCAGAGACAGTGATAAGTCCTTGTCAGCCTAATACATATAATCCATATATAAATCCTGCATCTCCAACTTTTGCCAAAGAATGTCTCCTTAAGCCCTTGAACACACATGACATACCCATATGTGTCATGGAGGAACCAAGCAACTGATACATGTAATGCTCACTCATGGGGGGTGGGAAGTATCACAAGAGGAAGTAAAGTCAGAGGTAATAGCATTAAGTAGAGAACTTTAGCAGAAACAATACATTATTTTATCTAATACAAAATTCTGACATATGACCACAGGAAATTGTCCAATACCAGGTGTGTTCAAGGGGTTAAAGCTGTTTAACTGAAACTAATTTATGGTCCATACAGGCTGAAAAAAGCCCTTGTTAAACAGGAAAGGGCAAAGAAAATGTTGATCATGCTTAAAGTATAATTTTCAAGGAAACAAGATCATAAATAACTGGCATTCATTAGCAAATTTATGGCTGCCTTGTATCAAAGCAAACATCATCATACTGTCACAGTTCCCCAAGAAAGAGAGAAATCCATATAGATCTAGCATCCAATGCAATCCTCTGGGGATTGCAATGGATCCTTGAACCCAATCTGGGGAGGCAAATATTTCCTTCCTAAACATTGAAACAATCATAACTGAGGTATTTTACCTGTCAAGAGTAAGACAAGACACAGGGATAAGACAGATTAGGACATAGTTTCTAAAAACATTGTAAGGAAGAGTAACATGTGAGTGTGTACATGTATGGCCTTGTACATGTTTTAATGTTACATTCTAAATGCAATTGGGACCTATGCATTCAAGGTATGGCCTCAATTTTCAATCAAAACTTACTCCCTGGGGTAGAAAAATTGATTTAAAACCCACTCCTCGAAAGGTGGGATTTTGTTTCCGTGAAATGCATGGAATACTCTTATACAAAAGTTTCCTGAATGAATCTTCATGAGTACATCACTTAAAACTGGTTGTTTTTAAAATTAAGCTTGAAGTGTCTGAGATACCATAAGAAGCTGCAGATTATAAAATGTATAAAAAGAGTGAGAGTTTTATGAAGAATCCTGGCTCTTCCAATTGGAAGTGGCTTTGGAAATACTTCCAAAGATGTCTACCTTCAAAGAGACACGTTTGGAATATGGAAGAGTGAGAAAAGGGTTGCACCTGTAGGGTTAGTAGCTATCAATGCACCACATTAAACAAAGGGATCCTATGCAAACAAATGTGATGAAAATATAATCCATAAAGAAATATGTTAGGGCAAAAGTACTCCCATCTCATCATATAAAATTATGAGCTGCATCTTGCATAGTTTGAGTAGGAAACATATGCTTCCAAGTCCTTAAGCAACTATTCATATATAGATGTCCTTTACTTACACAACTTTAATTGATGTGATCCACCTTCTACTTCTTCCACCATAGAATTCCAGATATAGTCCCTTAGATTTAAATAAGGTACCATGCTGAGGCTGCATTCAAATTTGTGAAAACGTAGAGTAGAAAATAAAATTTCACTGGTTATGAACATTTTGTTACAAATTATTACAAAAGTTCCAATTAATGAGAGAAAATCCAGCCTCACATCAATTTGTTTCTGTATGTCATAGGTATGAATGCATTCTGGATCTTGTCAGTCGATGCAGCAATGAATACAGCCTTAAAGCAGGTTCAGTGCAACTGCAATTGTGCCATTCAAGAAAATCATACCACTCTGAGATCATATTGAATTGAACAGACTTGCTTGGGAATACAAAAGATAATGCTGCTTATCAAGACATCATGCTTCAGAAAAACAATAAAAATATTCATACTTTCTCCTGCCTGTCATCCTGGAACTTGTATGAAATGATTCAAATGTCTTGTGGAACTAGAGCCAAACCAAACAGCAGAAGAGTAGCCCAAAAAGAAGAAAGCATGAAGGATGTCATGAGAAGCTAAAGAAGCAACTAGTGAGCAAAGACATGGAGCAAACTGGACTTGTGCATCACCTCTTTACTAAAGGCCTAGCAGCTACTGGAAGGAAGTCACTCAGAAGTTCAACCCAATTTCCAAGACCTCAATGTTCATTACATGGCCATGATGTAAGATACTCCACTAATGCAAAACTAGGTTAATACTTCCAGCCCACAGAATGAGAACAAAAAATTTCCAGGAAATCTTCAGTTCAACTCATCCCAACTCAGGCAAAAGAGGATTCCTTTCTAGATATATGCATCTGAGGGTAAACTGCCTCATTCATTTCACCACCATACACAGAAAAGAACATAGTTGGTCAAAAATAAAAAAGTAACAAAAAGAGAGCTGTCAACAGGCAAAGCAGTGGATTTTCATGATTACACAAAAAGGAAAGGAGCTTCACTGATACAGTGCTTATCGAATGAATTCACCCCCTCCCCTCCCCATGCAGTAAGCAGTGGTGCTGTTGGCAGTGCGATATGAGTGACATCTGTTTTTTATTCCACAAACTATTCTGCTATCCAAATTTGCCATCCCAGCCAGTTCCCTGACCCCAATAGACAAGAATGAGACCTTGAAGGAGCTTTGTAAACTTGGCAATACAGTCCACCAGAATGAGCAGGGCACCAAAAGCAAAAATGATATAGTCATATTTTTTTTTATAAACACACCCATAAAATCAGTCATATACCACTAGGATGCATTTTTAGTTTGACTTTACAATTTTATCATCCATGAAAAGACACCTGTAAAAAATTCACCACTCTCAAGCTTCCCAGAATTTTAAATTTGAGCAATACAATATTGAAAATTTCAACTTTCTGTATCCACTTCCCTTCATTTGGAAAAATTCCTTAGTTTTCACCAAAGCTTTCAAAGCTTTGAGGATGTAGGAGATAGCAATGCAGGTGACATATACATTGATTAGTTGGTATTAGCATTTGCAGTATCTATAGATGTGTCATAGAAAAGCATAGCAAATCCTGGGGTCCCATAGTAAGAGGAGAAAGAATTCATTCAATAAGCACTGTATGACAGCAGGGATGAATATCCTTCACAACAGCTCCTGCTACAGTATAATCATCGCTTGGGCTTCAGTGAAAGAACCTGTATCTTGCATGGGAATCTTTGGAATAAAACGTATCTGAGTTCTTGAAACTTCAGAGTATCTGAGTTCTTGAAACTATTTATTTCTCACTAGCCATCTGCCAGCATATCACAACCATAAAATGCAAGCATAGGTATGAAATTACATAGTTGGAATGACTGACCAGGGAGATACCTGGGCCTCTCAGGGAAGGACAAAAATCAATGCTATTTAGTGGAATCCCTAATTTCCAAGTAGACCTGGTGATTTATCATTATTCCAGACTTCCAGAAGAGAAGAAGAATCATCTTGATATGATGAAGCATTCTGAGATTGGTAACCTCAACTAAGACCATTCCTTGCCATACATGTAAGGGCAAAGACCTGCCTTGACACAGAAAATGTATTATCAATGATGACATTAAAAGGATAATTAAGGTCTCTATTGCTGACTTGTGTTATATACTACTTTTGAGGAGAAATTTGGCCTTCAAGGTTCCTGCTTCAAAAAGCCTAATTAAAGCCATATGTTTTCAAAGTTGTTAAAACTCCCCATTAAGATCATTAAAATGACACAAAACAGGTCTGTTCAGAATACTGCACCTTCAAAGGAAAAATTACATGCTTGAGCATATCTGGTTTATGATTTTGTGTGCATCAGTCGGAAAGGTCATCATAGCAAGAGCACAGATATGAGACCATATGATACAAGTTCAGGATGCTAAGAGTCCAGAGTTGTCCACAAAGTTCATGCCTGAGAGAAGCAGAAAACAATCCCAGGGCATTAAACATATCAGCAAATCTCTAGAATGTGCCTTCAAACCCATCACAAATTGGTTTACAGCATGGGTTCACAGCAAGTGGCTTGTGAACTGCATGCATCTTGCCAGCTCTCAGCTTACTTCCAGTTTGCATTTCAACTATTAAATAACTCATTCTTCACGTTCACTTTCAACTCTAATGTTTAGGGCAACTCCTCCCTTTATTCTGAAGTGCTAACCACTGGAATTTCTGTTATAGTATATGGCAGAACTGCATTCATGCCTGTAGATACTGGTAGGAACACTCTTGATCTGTCATCTCTATTGGAGAGCACTCAGTCACTCAAATAAAAACTCTAAATGCTATTTTAAAAATTACTATCCTATCAGGAAAGCAGTGCAGGGCATGCAGCCTAAGCTGTCAACTCAAAAGAGCCCAAGTATCCCTCTAGCCATTCTAAGAAACAGCATATTTAACTCATGAGAAAAACCACTGAGAAGAATTAACTTTGGGATCAACTCAAACCAAACTAGAAACTTCACCTATGGAAAGTCTTCAACTGTTTCTCATTGGCCTAGCAAGCAAGAGGGGAGAAGGCAGTTTAATGGCATAATGGCATAAGTAATAAAATGTACAGAAGCTTGTTTGATGCAGTAATTTCCACTTTGGATCAGAGCTAAGAAGTATAAAGGCAACAAAAAAGGCTTCAGAAAGAACTTGTAATGGTAGTTATTGTCATGAAATTCATGGAGGTCATCACAAAATCATGGCCATTAACATTCCAAAATGAGCATTATGTCTAGATCTGCAGCACAGCCCTATTATGTGTTAACTTTCAAATTGTGCCTTTTTTTTCTACAGGGTATGATGCCACTGCTTGTGGAAGCGTCATGTGACTTGGTGCCACAGACTATAAAATGCATTCTGTGTTCAAGACTTGACTGATTTGTAATTGTTGATATCATGAGGTTTGGAAAAAGCAAAAGTAACTAATGTTGAACAGTGTACCAGTGAGTGATATGTGCTTCTGAAGTAGACCTAACCATGTCTTGTGGTTAATGGAACAAATGTCATGTATGCATGATCCAAACTCCCACACTGTTGAGGATTGTCTTCATAAGGAGGATGGAAAAAAAAAAAACATGTTGTATATTATGTATTGCATTGGCTCAATGAGAATGCATCATGAAAGTTAACCATCACTAAGGTGTGTGGGTATCTGGGATAACTGCCATGTAGCTATTCGATTAACAAGCACATATTTTCAGGTTATTGTGAGGACTCAGTGAGCTGTGGCATCAAATTCTATTGGTAGTAGTGTCATTATAACTGGTCTGTGTCATCTCAAAGCTTCATGTTTGCTTCCATCCCTACACGATGACAGGAAGATGTACTAAGTGAACTCGTGGGTTGAGTGCAGAATGTCCAGGAATGTGTTCCACCTTGTGATGAAGAAGTCAATCATTCTTGTATGTCTGTTTCATTGTCTGCAGCCTAATGGAATGATGAAGGTATGTTTGCAGGTTGATATACTGTATATAGAAGATGGGTATGTAGATCAAGTGAAATTGTTTTGATCAAATTGCACCAGTGTTCACACAGGGTTCCTTTAATGGTATTCATATATGGTCAAGATGTGCAAGTTAACGAAGTTGTTCTTGTCTGTAAAGTGTACATCACATGTCTCCGATGATGCTCGTTTCAGTTTTGTCTGGGATGAGTCCTTGGTGGAAAAGAAAGATTTTCAAGTGTAGGAGCATTCCCAAGCATTCAAAAAGAGAATTTACATGAGAAAAGTATTGACATACAGAACAAACATGTTCAATAAGCACATTCCTGGGCTCTTCTGAATGACAATTGCTGTTGCACTACATGATGTTCTCATCTTGGACTATTCTTGCTTCTCTATTGTCTCATTTCTACATTGACTCAGTGAAGTTTTTTCAACATGAAAATCTTCAAAATCCAAATTTTCCAGCAACCAGAGAGCCAAGATGCTAATAACCATAAGGAGACAACCCCTTCTCACTTAAAGCAGAAAATGTTTAACTCAAAATTCATTCAGAGTTTCTTTCTTCTACCTCTTGGCCCTCCAGTCTACAGGATGAACACTTTCAGTTCTTTTCCATTGGCCTAACAACATCCAATGAACACAACTGAAGTGCAGGAGAAGCTAAAACGATAAAACTTCAAGTACCATATGGAATCTTTCAAAGGCAGTAATTTTAATACAAGCCATTCATCAACTGTTCATGCTAAACTTTGATTTTTTTTTTCAATTTTAAGTTTTCAGAGCTTCCTCTCTCCAAAGCTGTATGAATTTTTGGTCTTAAATAGTTATGGAACCTACCTTCCTTATCCTTGAGAGGTAGGAAATGTGTACACAATTCAAATTTTGCTACAGGCATTCAGGTAGCTCATTTATAGAATAGTCACAGAAGGACTAATGGGTGGCCTTTCTTTGGCTAATCTATAAATGGGTTTTGAATTATGATATCCCAGACACTGGAGGGAAAAAGCTTATGCTGCACTAATGCCATTTGCATAGTCAGATTAGGAGTAGAACTCAGGAGTGGAGACTTCTATTACAAAGGAAAAGGAGGTTAGGTCCCAGCATTTCTGCTTCTCTAAATTTAAATGTAACGAGAGTTTAAATTCAAGAACAGATAAAATACCCTTTGTGGATTATCTTACAATGAATGATATTGTGCTCAGTGCTCAAGGTTTGCAAATGCCTTTCATAATGACAAGACTTACCTTGAACCTCGAGACATAAATTCATGAGAGTAGAGACAAAGCAATGATGTGGTGGCATTCAAATATAAAATAATTAGTTCAATATTGACTTCCTTCTCTATGACTCTCAACCAGAAATTATATTATCTGGAATTTGAATGGAACTAGTACTCCATGTGAAGCAAGAAATTCACCATTACAGTGGTGGGCAAACAATAAGTTTCTGAACAGGCAAGACCATAAGGAAAAATTTCTTTCAAGGTGAGGGCTACCCTTGAATCTCATCACTGTCAATGGGCTTATTGTCCAACATAACAATGCAAGGAGCACATTGCAAGAGAAAACATGGTCTCCACAGGGACAGAAGGGTGAGTGCCTCAGTCTGTGTAACACACTTTTTTGCCATTGGTTTTAAGCCAGTAGGTGTTATTCCAGTCACTCTTGGAAGAGTAACTGGATAGTTTCAATTGCTAACCATATAGTGAATTGATCCAATTTTGGATCCCTACCTGGTACCTTTCAAACTCTAAGCAAGTATCAATTTAATTATGCTATCATGAAGTATTTTGCTCATTGCAAGTCATCAGTCTAGTTTGACAGTATCTAATTCAGCCTATTGTTCCAGCATCTTCTTTCTCCATTTCAGAAAGATATCTAGCTCCATCAGAATGAAGACAGGATTAGCCTGCAACACAGAAGGAATTTGGAAACTCACATCACCTCCATGACCAAGAGACCTACAACAGAAGAGGCAGATCCTGGAATTTGTAATGGGACTTCATCTTGCAAAATGACCGATGGTCCCTTCATTTTCCAATTGCTTCCTCATTAAATTACAAGAATTGCTGCAAGGCAGTTTTCACTTTGTCAAACAGGATTGTGTCTGAGGTTGAGCGAAGTTGCTGGAGCAGTTTGTAGATGCCCATGTCTCTCAGGCGCTGCTGACGTTCCAATGCACCATCATCTTCATTCCATATCAAGTTGGAGACACAAAACGTGGCAGCTGTGGCCAGCTTCACATTGGAATGCATCATGTAGTTCATCAGCTTCTTGAGGACATCTTCATTGGACATGATAAAATCCTTGGCTGAAGAACCATCAGCTATGTTGGCCAAAATACAGAGAGCTTGTTCCTTGACTTCTGCTGGATGATCACCTTCCAGAATAAGAACAACTGCCTGCATGATCTGACGACCATGTAAGGCCATGATGTAGTCAATATGCGGCTTTGTGGCCAGCAAGTTCCTCAGCAATCCCAAAGTTTTCATGAGAACTGCAACATCTGTATCAGACAGTAGTCGAAAGATGTGATCGGCTCCAAGGGTGCTCAGAATTTGAGACTTAATTCTTTGCTCTGCCTGGAAGGCCATGTTCATTAGGCCCCAGATCCCATTCAGTCGCAGGGCAGGCTCATTTCTCTTTGTCAGATTATAAAGAAGGTCTACGGCCCCTGATTCAAGTATTGGCTCCTTTGAAGGCGAAAAGGCAAGGAGTAGATTGCAGAGTGTAGATGATGCTACAGCTAGCAAATCATCTGAAGCATTGTGGATCAAGTTCATTAGTGGTTTCCAAACTGCATGATCCTGAAAGGTGGTTCGGAGCTGTTGGACTGACCGTGAAATCGAATGCAAGCACCGTACAGCTGCCAACTTGACTTTTGGGCTTCCTTCTTTCAACGCCTGGACAATGTGCTCCATAAGATTGTCTGCCTCAATGATGCGCTTTCGTATGTCCTCATCATTTGCTGCCAGAGAAGCATAGGCCTTGAAAGCAGCCTGAGTCAGATCCTCTGAGATCTTCATCTCCTGGTCCAATGCCTTGGACATCTGTGAAGCATGATACTGAGTCAGCTGTGGGGGAATATGAGGTGTGCTCAACTGAAACTTGAAGTACTCAGCTAGATTTTGGATTATGTGATCTGAAATTGCAGATATCCGCTGGAGGTCAATATCAACTTCAATGAGGATAGCCAGAGTTTCAGCTGCAATGACTCTTTCCTCAGGTGTTCTATCAGAGCGGCACATACGAATGAGTGTTGGCAGAGTCTTATATTTGATCCGGTGATCATCTCCTCGCAGAGCTCCTGCCCAATGGAGATGAGTCAGGCACTTGGCACCTGCCAGCTGCATTGCAGCAGGCTTGTCTCGACTGATTAATTCAGCAAGAAGATCAGGAACACCTTTCCCACCATAGGTACTATCAACCACAAGTACCGAGACTTCCCGGTTCTGGAGACAAACAGCAGCTAAACAATCAGCAGCTGCCTTTTGGACTTTTGAAGCTGGAGAGCAGAGCATGGCAGCCAAGGATGAGATCAAACCATGGCTGCAAAGGATCATTTGCTGCTCTCGAGTCTTACAAGATGCCGAAAGGATAAGGGCTACACACTCTTGTACCAGCATTGAACGAGGTATGAGATTAATGAGATGAACCACCAATCCAGGCTCAGTGAAAATATGCTCCACTGGAGCCTGTGGCCATTGGAGGATGGTTCTCAGGCAACATAAGGAAGACTCAACTACTCTTGGCATAGGACTATTCAGCTTTGTAACAAGTATTGGAACAATGTTGAGAGTAATCAGTTCTTTAATGCATTCCTCAGTGCCCTTGGCAAGAGAACCAAGGACAATGATGACTTCAGCCTGCAAATCACATGGAGTGGCCTGATCCAACAGGATTCTCAAGAGATGAGGGACTATCCCTTGCCTGACCACACTTCGTTTCTCGTTATTACTCCCAATTATAACATTCTTGAGACAGATCAAAGCCTCTAGGCACTTCTCAGGCTGGGGTGAGTAGAGATGATCAATATAACTACGGCTCTCCTCCACCTGTTCAGACATTGGTTCTACTGCAGACACCATCACCTCGACATTGAACCAACTTGACAGGTAGATCTGAACCTTGCATAAATAAATCAGGACAAAATTAAATATAAATGCTTTGATATATGTAAGGACTAGGGAAAAAGAGTCCTATCCAGAATATCCAGAAATGTGTGATACAAACAGACTTGAGGCTGGAAGCTTAACATAAATCTACACATACAATGGTAAGTTAGGGGTTTATACTGTCGGGTTTTTAAATATACAGACTAAAGTCTCTACCAGGATGACTAGTTAACAGCACTTTGCAAATGTTTGTGTCAATATATTAAGGCTGGGGGAGTACTGACATATCAGAAAGCACTGGAACCTCAGAATTAGCCTGCTGACTATCAACAGGTTTTCACACTATTGATATACAATGCATCCCCATCCCCTTTTCCCTCCCTATACACATAAACAAAAGAAACAACATAATTATCTAGATTTGCATATGAATGAAGTCTGGTGCTGAACTCCTAACTCCCTCATCTCTTTTTCCACCCATACTTCCCTCCCTTTCCCATGCAAAAACAAATATAAAGACTTAATATCAATTTCTTCAAAGCTGACATGGAGAAGTGGATACTAGTGTAAGATATTAGATAATAATTTGCTGATATTTCCCCCTCTTTTTCTCACAATCACCATCAGCACAGTCCCAGTAGATGCTTTCTGTATTATTCAATTGGGTTGATCCAACATCATTGGCATGAAAGTTACCACAGGGATTGTGTTTTTGCCAAAGCTAGGTGAGCCATGGTTTGGCATTTTAGAGCAACCACTGTTAGCACCATGCACACTACAGACCCAACCTCTCATCTAGATGAGCTACATATCCCCATGTATAACATTTAGGAGTGTGTTTCCATCCCAGGAGGGGCTGTGAGATTGGAACCTGACTCCTGTATTAATCAGAAACCCATGTAACACCGTGATCTATGAGAATGGGAGACCCTTGTTTTTTTACATGGAAATACAAGGACATTTACCCTCCATTCCCCATCCAGGACATGCTAATGTGTTACTAGACTTGAGAAACTGAGGTACTGAAAATTAAAGCAAGGAGAAGGTGTTTGGTCATGTAGTAATACTTGAAAATATCAGGGCTGTCAAGCTTGAACAAGTACATCTGGTTGTCCTATCATACGACAGACACCACCACACTGTGAACAACCTATTTCTCTGTTGGTTTTTACAAGAGATTGACCGCTATTAGATTTTACCGATTCCGGTATTGGCCAATATATGAAGCCGATAGCCGACACGATACTGGCTAATATTTCAGCATAAACAAAACCATATTGAAGATTTAACAGGACAGCCTGATTTTATTTCAAATTCTCCTTGATGAACTCACAAAGGGGTTAGGCTGCAAAGCATAGGCCAAACCTAAGCCTTAGAGCGAAGGTCTGCCACTATGTGCCAGACAAGGAACATAAACAGAGCAAAAGACCTGTGATTCCTCACCTCTCCAATGATGCCATATTGGCTATATCACACGTCTCAGGGTTTCCATATGGGTGTGGAAAAGGTAGTCCTAGTCATACTTTCTTTTAATGTATAGATTAAACAGAACTCTACTTCTGATATTGGCAAAAATAGGAAGGTTTAAAAGAAATGATGTTGATACCGAAATGCCTATATTGGCCAATTTATGTCAGCAACTGATGTATCGTTCAATCTCTAGTTTTTACTTAAAGGCCTGACAAATACTCATAAAAATGTACTTTAATTACTTAGATTCATGTGATCTTGTCCAACATACAAAGAAGAATAGTTGAGGGAATCTATCACTGCCACCACTCAGAAAAGGTTCTGCTTTTATTCTAAAATGTATTGCCTCACTGTCAATTAATACTGAAATGAGGTTGCAATCAATGGAAAAATGTATGTTCAATATCATCAGGAGATTATGCTCCTCAGAAATTCCATTTACAACTCATTCACATAAAGCAGCCTTTCCATGATTGTATATTTGGAATTTTCCAGAGACTATTAGAAAAAGATTTTCCAAAGTGGATGGGAAAAATTTTATTCCCTTAGGGTTCATACTTCAAATACTATTGACACTTGATGTGACACACTCAAAGGGACAGGCAGAAGAAACTTGTAATGATGAATATTGTTATATAAAGGTTAATTACATCAAGCATCAACTATACAGAAATTATATTCCAGGAGGAAGGTGTACTAAATTCCACCAATAACACAGACTGGCATTTTCTGGTAAGGGTACAAATTCTTCCAGATCATATGGGGATATTGAGATTTAAAAGTTATATCAGAAATGTTACACAGTGAAATCAGAGAAAGACCCAAAAACTTTCAACTGTGTGGGTCATTCATTTCTCTAAAGACTCATGAAACCCAAATCAATCCTGGCCATTGGGATATGTCATCACAGATCATGTATTCAAAAGGAACTTCAGAGCTGAGTCTGCCCCACTGCAGACTCTGATTATGACAAGCTTTAACCCAAAATTTGAAACAGGAGCTCTCTTCCATTCATAGGAAATGCCAGCTTTCACTCAGAGTGGAGCTAAACATTTAATCATGGACTTGCAGCTCAGAGAGCTGCATGCTCTATGCATTTAAATACATCACACAAGGACCTGTTGGTATATCTTAGTCAGCCTCAGGCTCAAGCTAACTTATACTCCCAGACCCCAGCCTGTAAAAGAACGTAGGCGGGAGAACGGCAGGGGGGGGCTTGCTTTCTCGGGGGGGAACGCAATTAACCGTTACAGTGCCCCATCCACATGATTGTGAAGACTCGCTTTCGGGTTGTGAATATGCAGCATCTTCAACTAAATCTTTTGTGTCCTTTCTGCAGTATTTTCATATTTTCTTCTTGAATTATCAATAATAGAACTGTCACGTGTTTGTGACGGTGCGTATGACAGCCCACGCATACGGTAGGCCTAAGGTCCCTAATACCCAACCTCATTATCTTCATGAGTCTCGAATAGCCCTACTGCTACGAATGAGTTTCATGGACGGAAAAAATAGACCAAAGATGCGGATAGGCCTACGGTAGCCCCTAGAGTAGGCCTACGATGAGGCAAAAGGCATGACCCTCAGCGGAGACGCAGCGGTCAGCGGAGGCAGACATGGTATTTTTACATCGCAGGGCTGACAGATTGTCCGCTCGAAATAAAAACCAACAAATGCTGTAAAACTTTAAAAAATATATATAAATTACTGAATGGGCAACAAAAATGCCGTCATTTTTGGCGAATTGTCATTCCAATACTAGGCTGCTGATTCTGACGAAATCTGGTAGGCGTATAGGTTGATATATTTGGGGGGTGGTGTCTCTCGAATTTTAGTATTTCGGCTGAGTTATAAGATCATAGGAGCTGTAATTATTTTATATTGACCCACAAAAAATGTGCTGACGCAAATATCAATCTGAACTTGAGGTATATATTCATGGAATACATCAAGGGTGTGCAACCTTCATCGGCAGTGGGCCGCATGGAAATGTGTGACCTTTGACGCGGGCCACAGAATGCAAAATAAAAGGCTCCCCTCTTTTGTCCTCAGGGCATATGAGGGCATAAGGTCGCGCTGATTGGCCGATGATCCTTATCTCCTCCCCCACCCCAAGGAAATTCCAACGTCCAAAAATAGCCCTTGGCATTGAGAACCTTCTTCCTCGGAACATATGGGACATATGCAGCACCGCGTGAGGAAAAATCAGAATGAAGTGAAAGGACTCAGTCTATTTCTGGTTACTTAGGGTTGACCAATGTTATGATGGGCCTTCGGCCGCTAAGCTCATATATCCCATTATGCATTACCGGGCCGCGGGTCACATCCCTGGAATACATGATTGCCAGTCGCAATAAGCTAAGTTTTTTATTTTATTTAAAAAGCTGGTTTTATTTTGCAAACCCTATATATGTAAAAGCGACTCCCTGTTGATAAAGATAATTTAGAGAACGAAAATAAAAAAATATAAAACTTCTTGAACAAAGGGAAACACTGAACCAGCAGGGAGAATTGGGTAGGAAAAGGACTGAACTGTCACGATGGTTGTACACATTTTTGTTTCCCCCTCTACCTCCCCTTCGTATTACCCCCAACCCACGACTAGCACCTCACGTCTCTACTGTCGGTCTGTACCAGTAGCGTAGCCCGGATTTTGCCAATGGGGGGGGGGGGGGGGGAGAGGGGATGGCGGATGCATTTAGATCGGGGTTGAGGGGGTTGAAGCCCGCCCCCTCCCCCTCCCCTCGTCTGTACGTTGTTTTCTGTCTTGAATAAAGGCTTTTACATAGTATCCCGGCGGGATTCCGGCTCGTCCCGGAACTCGTTAGGTATCGATGCCATTAAGAATCGTTCTCGCGAATGGGAATAGCTCTTTCCGTGGAGAGGTGCCTGGGGATCGAAAATCAGCGAAAGAGATGGGACTACTTACGGGGGCGATGGGCCTCGCGAGCGATCCGGGAACGATCGACGGAAGCGATCCGAGTTTTTCTTCGAGCTCCCTGGGGGTAAGCGCTCGGCCGAGAACCTCTTCGATGCACCTTCCCAATAAATAAATAAATAAATAAATACGGAATTCCTGGAATTCTCGAATGTCTGCTCTCGGGAACTTCCGGGTAACCGGATCAGAGAACGGAATCTAATCTCGATCTAATCCAATCGCAAGTCGAGAAGTACCTCTGCCGATTGAGTTTCCTGGTTTTAACTCGCATTCTCAAGGTGAAATGAGAAAATTTACCTTCGGCTCGAAAATAAGTCGAGAGTTCAGAGATTCCCGGCTTTTGCACGAACGAGGTAAAAAAAAATAATAATAAATAAATAAATAAATACAATTCTTAATTGCATCCATCATAATAACGATTATGATCGACCGACCAATTTAAAATTTATTTTAGGGCTAACCCGTCGTTGAATGAGAGCTCGCGCCTTTTTTTCCCTGTTGCATGCAGTCCAATCAATTAACCCCTTGCCTTTCCATTAAATTTACTTTCCACCGTATCCAGCCA